TATATAATCTCTTTTACATGCCAAAGGTTTTGTGTTTCTTTTCCTCCAATCCTGAGATTTGCACAGCTCCGCCACACAGCACTGCCCTGTTTTGCAGGGAAGGGGGGATCTGATTTCTTTTTCTCTGCTGCAGTTTCACTTTCACTTACAGGTCTCCTTCCCCACCGCACCACATAACTGGACAGTGAAAAGAGAAGCAGCAGACTGATCAGCTCATCTCTCTGTCACTCTGCTCTCTCCTCCCATAAACATGATCCTTGTACTGCAACACAGTTGACTGTCTCTCTGTGCTGTATCTCTCCCCCCTTTCTGAGCCGTGTTGTACAGTAGACTGATAGCAAGTCTAATTTAGGTACTTAAACTGCTTGCAGTGTACAATACATGTAATGTTGGGCAGCATTATTAAATGCTGAGCTGCAATAGGCATTCTGTGTATATTAACCACTTCAATACCATGGGACGTACCTGTACTCCCTGATCTCTAAGTGGTTATACCAAGATCATGGCTGCTGTAGCAGGCGGAGGGCTTTAGAGTACAGATGATCTGGGCTGCTGTAGAGCTGCCTGATCGCTTGTACCGGCTTGTAAAGATGCCCTATTGAGCTGCAATAGGCATTCTGTGTATAATAACCACTTCAGGGCCATCGGACGTATCTGTACTCCCTGATCTCTAAGTGGTTATACCAAGATCATGGCTGCTGCAGGTGGAGGGCTTTAGAGTACAAGTGATCTGAGCTGCTGTAGAGCTGCTTGATCACTTGTACTGGCCTGTGAAGGTGCCCTACTGAGCTGCAATAGGCAATTAGTGTTTTAACCACTTCAGGGCCATAGGATGTACCTGTACGCCCCGATCTTGAAGTGGTTATACCAAGATCATGGCTATGGCTGCAGCATGCAGAGTGCTTTAGAGTCCAAGTGGTCTAGGTGGCTGTAGAGCTGCCCTATTGCTTGTACTGGCTTGTGAAGATGCCCTTTGGAGCTGCAATAGGCATTCTGTGTATATATTAACCACTTCAGGATCATAGGATGTACCTGTACTCCCTGATCTCGAAGTGGTTATTCCAAGATCATGGCTACTGCAGCAGACGGAGGGCTTTAGAGTACAATTAATCTGGGTGGCTGCCCGATCGCTTGTATTGGCCTGTAAAGGTGCCCATCCAAATGTATTCCTGTGACCCAAAAGGGAAGTGAAGCCCAAAACAAAGAATGGACTTGACTTCTCTTTTAATGAAGAGGGAAGCTCTGGATTGAAGGTGATTGTACAATTTTTTTTTTCATGGGCTTGGGGTCCATTAAATAAAAAAATAGCCCAGAGTTGGGCTTTAGCATATGAATTGTGCTTACCTCACTTTTCCCAATTGTTTTTAATGAGAACATCCCAGTATCCCCATCATCGGCTATGGAGACACCCGGGAGATCCATTTTGAGCTCCATTCTCAGTCTCTGTTTGCTCTGAGCTTTCAGCAACTGCTTCTTCTTCCTAAAACCAATAAAGACGATGTAAAGTTAAAGACGGAACACGGTTACATAAAGGAAAACAAACTCCCACGTCTTTCTGCGTCCATGTTAAATGCTGTGGCTGCATGCATTTTCTTGATTTCAGGTATTTTATGCTTTTATTTCCACCTTCTGATCCGACCAGAAACTCACTTCCTGTCCTAAGGTGACATAACTCACTTCCTGTCCTAAGGTGACATAACTCACTTCCTGTCCTAAGCTGACATAACTCACTTCCTGTCCTAAGCTGACATAACTCACTTCCTGTCCTAGGATGAGACCGCTCCCTTACTGTACTGTATCTAAAGCTGGCCATACAAAGGTAGATCTTCGTAACATTTGATATCAGAATGCCGTTTTGTTTGATTTTAACATTCGATTTTGGAATGAATGGAGTTTCTCCAAACAAAAATCACATTCACTGCTAGAATTTCGTTGGTTCGTCTGAGAAACATTTTCCATCCTGCTCTTTTAAAAGATTTTTGCCACTGCGGTTGAAAATGATCACTGATTTGACCCCATTAACTATTAAAAAAAAAAAAAAAAATCGAAGAAACGTTCCATACATAAAATTTTTGAAAACAAATTCTACTGGTGTATGGCCAGCTTGACAACTGCATAGAGGGGAGGGGTTTTGTAGTCCTCAGAGATAACTGAACAATGGCAACCGTCAGCAGAGAGTACACAACATATCACACAGGGAGCTAACAAGCCCCCAATGTGATAGCACGTCGGAGGTGACCGGTTCTCTTTAAGGCCTTGTTCACACAGACTGCAGCCTCCACCTCCTTCTGAAAAAGTGATCCATGGTGGATTGCTTTACAGAGGGTGGTGGAGCGGCAGCTACCTAGCATTCAGGAGGTGATATTGCTGCCTCCTGAATGCATATTTTTTTGTAATCCCAATGGGATTTTCTATTGGAGTACTACATTGCAACAGCATACCCATGTGGTTGTGGCACAGTCCCATTTATTTAAATTATCATGTTTGGCAAGCAGCACGGTCTGTCAAATGCAAGAAGCTGTTTATTTTTGGTCCCGACGCAAAGCATCGTGGCAATGTATACAGCACTGTGCGGCTGCAATGGTACCATCTCACCGGGGTGGCTGTGGGCTGGTAAAACAGCACATCACATTATTTTACCGCCCCCTTCCACAAGGCTTAGGAAACATAAGGGGTTTATTAGACCCCTAATGTCACCTTTGCACTTCAATGAAGTTGATCAAGCCCAGATTGTGCTGGATTAACTTTATCCCCAGCAACAGAGGTCGGGGAATAAAAGCACTACACTCGGAAGTGACAAAATCTTCGTCACTTCCAGTTCAGAGATGATCGGTGAACATCCTGCTCTCCCTGCCTCCTGGTCCTGGACCCGAAGGAGGGGCAGTGGAGCCCAGGATACACAGCTTCAGCCAGGAGTCACCTGAAGAGATGTATACTGACTGTCAGTTTACAGGGCCCTGCCGGCATTGATGTGATACTTATGCCCAGGGCAACAAGAGTTAAAAGTCACAAACAGATCAAAGCAATGACAGATGCCAGCTTGGAGAAGTTATCCTTTACTAAGTTCTGACCAAGCATGCAGACTAGGCACTGTGATGTCTATGGCTAAATACTACTTTCAGATTAGTAAATGACAAAGTAGTGAAGCAAGGATCAGGGTGACTGCAGCCGGCAGAGGATACAACCCTGGGGGTGTTGGGTTCCCAATGACCAATAAAACAATGTTGTTTTTTTTCATACCTTTTGAGTGTCGCCAGCTCTTCAGCCTTTAGTTCAGCTAACTTCTTGTCCAGCTCCTCATTCTCATCCTCCTCTGTTTTCTCCTTTTTCTCCTCCTTCTCCGAGCCTTCTTCCTCCTCTTCACCAGAACTGAGACTGAAAACAAGAAACATGGTAAGACCAAGTCTTCCAAAGACAAATAGTCTTCATTGCCCACAGCATTTAAAAGGTCCCCCAGGCAGAAATAAAAAAATAAAGTAGCTCTGGCTTTAATCTGGAGCTACCCTCTCCCTCCCTCCCCCCCCGCAGCATCTTCCCTGCCAGAAGATGTCCCTGTATACAGTCCAATGAGAGCGCCAAGCAAGATAGTATTAGAGTCCAAAAACTTTTAATGATTGGATAATGTAATGGACTCAAAACTGGCTCAAATAATAGGGACATATTATAGGGTATAGCCAAGATCAGTGAATCAGCAAGTCCCTCTGATGAAGGGGGAGTTTTGTTGCCCCCGAAACACAATAGCTGTTTTTTTTTGTTGGTATTCCAAACAAATAAAGGCACTTTGGCTTTTTTCATGTTGCATTTTGGTGCCCATCTGTACTGTTACCTTAACCACTTAATGACCGCAGTGTTTACACCCCCTTCCTGTCCCAGCCATTTTTCAGTATTCAGCGCTGCGGTACTTTGACTGACATTTATTCTAGGGATGCACAGATACTTTTCGAGTACCAGTGCAGATACTTGGTTTCTTCATGAGAACTACCGAGGTTGCAGCGGTTGCAGCTGGGACCTGGCTCTGGCGCTCCACCACTGTCCTGAAATCATTAGTCTGTATTGTTTTAGAAAAACTGTCACATGACAACAAAAAAAAATGTATCAGTACTCGTACTTGTAAGTACTCGGCAAGTACCAGTACTCGCAAAACTGGCATCTGTGCATACCTTTATTTATATTTATAAAAACAAAATCGTACATTAAAACAGAGATGTACAAATCCCAGGAGCTCAGTGTGCTCCTTACACATGACAGCTGCCTCCTAACTTTTGAATGTTTCTCTAGTCTAGTCTTGGAGCTCAAAAGTATCGATACATGTACTCGTACTTGTACCGAGTACTGTACTTGGTATCTGTGCAACCCTAATTTATTCCGTCATGCAGCACTGTACTGAAATTAATTTTATACCATTTTTTGGGGACACATAGAGCTTTCTTTTGGTGGTATTTAATAACCACTGGGGGGTTTATTTTTTACTATATAAAAAGGAAAAATTACCGAACATTTTGAAAACAAAAAACGGTTTCCCATTAAATTATAACACATTTATTAATACACAACTTTTGGGTAAAATATAGAAGACATGGTCACGTCAGGTAAATAGACACCAAACACGTCAAGCCTTAAAATTGTGTGCGCCCGCAAAACCCGAAAAAAAACTACCATAACCCAAAATTGGCCATAGGCGACACTTTAAAAACTTTTATAGCTCATCAGTTTAGTGTTATCAGTGATTAATGGCCTTTAAATTATTGCTCACACTTCGACGTTCCAGGCGATATGCAACATGTGCAGCACAATTGTCATTTTTGTGCGTTGGCGCACCCTACGTTACATTTATATGTGCGTATACGTGGCGGTGGGGGACTTAAACATTTCTTTTTTTGTTGTAATTTTTTTCACACAATGTTATTGCTATCACAGAGGGGGCCCGCCATGTTCTTAGAGTAATACTTGTACCTAATGTTGATGAATGCAATGCATACATAAAATAGATAAAGACAAGGACTCACTTCACCTCCTCCACTGAATCTTTGGGTTGATCTTTTAGTTTCCTGGCAAGATACCTACGCAACTTAGACCTCCAGCTCAGGAGTGACCTGCATGGACAAGGGATATAGGTCAGAAGAAGCTTCAAGCAAGGGGACAGAAAAGAGAAGAGAAGCAAGTCAAACAATACCTGAGCTCCTTGCGTCCAAGGACTTTGATGTCTTTGCAGCACTCTTTGATGTCAGTGGTGGTGGATGAATTGTTCTCGAGGTCCGGGTCATTTATTAGAATCTGAAGCAGAAAATGGACTACAATCGTTCGTTCCCAATTACATGATTATCACCGGCCTGTTTTCTATGAACTCTTCTTTGCCCACAAATCTTGACGGCCATATTCATGACACCAGATTCTCATTCTTTCATTTGTGCTTGGCGAGTTCACAAGATAACTCCACATTTTAGGCCAAGTCTGGACCAGAACAGGTGATTAGGCCATCAGATAAATAAAAAAAACACCCTTGGCCTTTCTGTGCGGGGATTGGTATGCGTGTGCCAAGCAGGCTCTTTTGTATGAACACTGTGTCTAAGCCTTTCTCCAGGACCAGCACACAATAGGCGCTTGTCCACTAACAAAGTCCCAAAAACCATTCCAGGTGAGTGCTCTCAAAGCTTTCTTTAGTTCTTCTTTAGGTGCAGCTGCATGAAAAACTTTCACAACGCTTTGCACAAGGATAAGGACCTTTTTTTTCAACTTTAATATTAAAATCTCATTGGGCTAAGATTAAAAGTGTTTTTCCCCATAGTTCTCTTAAGGTTCACGGGAGGACATAAACTAGCGTCCTCCCATGACCCAAAGCTCAGTATATCGCGAGCTATAGCTCCCGGTATACTGAGACCGCCGCAGCTGGGATGGGTCCCAGCAAAGCTGTCGAGATCCGCCCAGCTGCGTGATTGACAGCTGGATCTGCCTATCTAGAGGCACAGCCAGCTGCACCTGCCCCCTCCCCCGTCCGTTCTGCCAGTCAGTGCTGGAAGATCAAAGCGGGGAGGGGGGGAATCCCTGCGGGGAGTGGTGACTGATAGCTCTCTGCAGGGAGATGATCGAGAAGTGAGCGAGCGACGGTATGCATTTGCTCACTTCCTGATCTATTGAGCCGACCTGTGACAGTTTCATTGTCACACGTCGGCTTGAACTATGAGGCTGAGTGATTTTCACTCACCTCATACTTTTGCTTTAAACTATTACTTTCTTAAGGGTAGTTAAGGATATATAATAAGGGAAGCCGGCTCCATGCTGTTTGGCCAGATCGATGCCGATTGGTCGGGAAGCCAGCTTCCCAGCCATTCAGCATGGAGCTGGTATCCCAGCCAATCAGGAAGCCGGGTGGGGGGTCATTACCTGCTCTCTGGCTTCCTGATTAGCCGGGAAGCCGTCTCCATGTTCCCTCGTGGTACTCCCGGTCAGAGGAAATCTCCCCCTTACCGGAAGTTCCCGTATCGGGGAAGGTATTGGAGCATTTGGGTGAGTACGAGTACTTGCCCAAATACTCGGTATCGGCACTGATATCGATACTATTATCGGTGCATCCCTAGTTACTACATCCATTGAAGGACAACGAGCTCCCATGTGGGGGTGGCTCCTGAGAGGCTCACAATGCGGTTGATGCAGGCATGTCCCTAGACCAAGATCACTTAGTATTTTATTGGATAGCTGGGACTCTTGGGAACAACTTCAAACTCTGATGGAGTAAGGGGAAGTCTTAGCATGTATAGCTTTCGTCCCCCATGACCACATGGACATACAATGTAGAGGGGGTACCATGCATATAAGCTGTTCAGGGCCAGCTTTCGTTCTCATTGTTTTTTCACATGGGGCACAAAGAGCATGTTCTAACTGCAAGAACACTGTCCGCTTTACATCAGGTCCTTGTTACATCTCGAAACAACGTCTTATTACAGTCTTTACCACAAATGCTAAGTTCCAACTCAAAGCTGTTAAACAGTAAAGCATCCTTATTGAAGCAGCAGAAGGGAAGGTCTTTGCTCTATCTGGTCTCAGTACCCGCTTAGAGCTTCCATTGTCCATTTCAGCCCTTGTAAAACAGCACAGCCATATTTACCCTCAACAATCTTAGATTACATCCCGACATTTGAGTGATCCCTTATCCATATTACCTAGACATGACATCACATTGATAACTCTCATACCTCACCGATCTTGGACAGAAAGTCAACGGGATTGGGAGCTTTGAGGAAATCCATCAGAGGTGCTTTTTGGTAAAGAGTTCCTTCTTCATATCCTTCTGCCTGCGATGCAAAGAAAATTAAAATTTAACTGTGCGACCTCATTTTTGTGCGACGTCCAGTATGTCCAAAGAGGAAATGATTGTAAGAGATAATAGGGGATGTACCAGCCCACTGCAGAGAGACCCCTGTTTCCCATGGAGAGCAATGTGCTGGCAGGGGACAGGTTTTTCTTCCCAGGCTGTTGGCGGTTTATAAAAAAAACTAACTGTAAGGCCACACGAGGCTTTAAGGTCCAGCTATCGATTCTTGCGTCAGGAATCACGGGTGGTTCTGGACAGCTGTTCAGCCTGTACAAAGAAATGAAAGGCCGACAGAGGCCTCTGCTGACTGCCCGTGTTTGTATGTGATCGCATATTGAGCGACTACCTGCGGTTAGAGACAAATGATCGCCCCTCGATGCAAGCTGCTTGCGTTCAATGGTGATTATCTGTCTTCAACCACAGGTAATCAATCCATATGCAAGTATTATGATACAGGATTTATGTAGCACCAACAGTCTGCACGGCGCTTTACAATATAAGGAATACATCACAATACAATTCAAGGGAGGGGCAAGTGATACATGAGGAGGTATGAATTGTTTGAGAATGTGATGGTTCAGTGGTTAAGTTGAGGTGGGATAGGCTTCCCTGAAGAGATGAGTCTTAAAAGGAGAACTATGAGGTGAGTGCTTTTCACTCACCTCATAGTTCTAGCCGACCTGTGACAATGAGACTGTCACAGGTCGGCTCAGTAGATCGGGAGGTGAGGGAACACATACCGGCGTTCGCTCACCTCTCGATCCTGTCCCGGCTCTCTGCCGTGACAGGGGAGGGGCTGGATTCCCCGCGCCGATCCACCAGCGCTGACTGGCAGAATGGACGGGGAAGGGTACAGCTGGCTCTGCCTCTAGATAGGCAGAGGCAGCTGTCACTCACGCAGCTGGGCAGGTCTCGGCATTGATGTCGGGATCCGCTCCGGCGTCTCGGTATACCGCAAGCTGTAGCTCGCGCTATACTGAGCTTAGGGTAACGGGAGGAAGCTAGTTTGTGTCCTCCCGTTACCCTAAGGAGAACTATGGGGAAAAGCCTTTAGCCCAAAGTTCTCCTTTAAGGGATCGCCTAAAGGCAGTCAGAGTGGGAGATAGTCGGACAAGTTGTGGTAAAGAGTTGCAGAGGATGGGAGAGACTCTAGAGACGTCCTGTAGGCGAGCATGGGAGGAGATGACGAGGGAGCTGGAAAGCAGGAGGTCTTGGGATGAGCGGAGTGGACGGTTAGGGGGATACTTTAAGACCAGGTTTGAGATATAGCCGGGGGCGGAGTTGTGGATGGCTTTGTAAGTGGTTATTATTTTGAATTTTATCCTATGGGCTTTTGGAAGCCACTGCAGGGGTTGGCAGAGGGGGGTTACAATTACAGTGTGCTGTGTTGACAAAAGCTTAGAATGCTAACGGGCCGTGGGCAGAGCTAGGGGTGGCTATTTACTGACTGGGCTATCAACAGGGCCAGCTAAGTAACAGCAAAGGGTGATTTCACTGCAGAATGAAGAGCGTTATCACTTAGCAAAGGGGAGGAGGCAGCCAGCAGGTTCCCCATGATGGGTATTAAAAAGGAGAGAGGGAGCGGGCAGCTGCGTGGTTCTGCTGCCTACACATCTCTCTGCCCCCCAGTGCTCACTTCCTGATCACGGTGGAGAGAGAAGTAAAAGCAATACAATGAGCTGCTATAGCTTGCAGAGTGACAACGCGCCAGGGGTATGCCGTCTAATATGCTCCTAATAAACAGAGATCCCTGCGGAAGCTTTGTTAATTAGGGGCACTGGCGGCACAAATATATACGAAGCAATGCGAGGCGATGCCGCGGTGGCATATCCAGAAGACCAATTATTTATGTTTACTGCAACAGGAAAGGGGGGGTGGGATCATTTCAGGAGGGAACTAGAACAGTTTTCCTAAACCCCCTGATCACCCGTTAGTGTAACATGTCTTCTCCTTATTCACACTGTCACTGTGTCATCTTGAGGAAGGAACCCTGTGTGGCCCCGAGTGTTGGCTGGTTTAACACTTAACCCTTGCATAAGCGCAGATTTCACATTTTTCACTTCTCATTCCCGAGTGTTGGCTGCCTGATCTATGTGACTCTATAGAAATAAATCTACACTGATGTCTTCATCATGGAGGTCTAGTGACCCTCCTTCCGTTTATACAGTAAATATAAGGTTGTCATGCAATCTGGTTGTGTACAGCCTGGTGTTATCTCATAGCTATGGCTACTTTATACAGCCAACATCACAGATTTTGAGTACTCAGGGAACCCAGAATTTAGAATGTCTGATCTGTACTCCTCTGGCCTGGCATGTGTGGAGTTTACTCCGAAAACCTAGCCAGGAACATAAAGCCAAAGAAATACAATATCTGAAGAGAATAATCCGGTGAGCACTATGACAGAGTTTGGTTGCAGATAGGCAAGGAGCAGAGACACCCACACGGGAACGCACCTTGGGCTTCTTATTGGACACCAGCTGGGTGACCGTTTGCACGGGGTTATCCACATTCTTAAAGGCAAACTTCGGATCAAAGAAACGACTGTCGATTTTATCGGGGGCCAAGTATCCTACAAGAAAGAAGAGGAATCAGAATGGCTCAATATACATTTCTTTTATTTCAAGTGTATATATAATGCAATATGTTGCAGATTCCCTAGACAAGGGGTAGGCAACCTTGGATCTCCAGCTGTGCTGAAACTACAAATCCCATAAGGCATTGCAAGCCACAGGCATGACTCCCAGAGGCAGAAGCATGATGGGATTTGTTGTTTCAGCACAGCTGTAGAGCCAAGGTTGCCTACCCCTGCCCTGGACGCAGTGGCTGCATTTGTTTTCCTTTTTTTTACCCGGTGATCCTTCCAGTAACACACTTGCTGTCCTAGGGTGACAACTCTTACTCTACTGCATCTATAGAGGAGCAGTGTTGTCACGTTCGGACAAGGCTACAAAATACCTCCCCTCTCCTCATTCATGGGGTGTCGTGTAGTCCACAGAGGTCTAAGAGCATTGCTTGAGATTTCAGAGCTGCCCAGGTATACAGCAAAGGAAGTTAAGGGCTCAATGGATTTCTGGTGCAATAACAGGCATTGTTTTGGGTACTTGTAGTGCTCTTAAAGCGACAAAGCCAAGAGAAATGTCTATACAAGAGCAGTTTTGTCTTTCTAGGACAGAAGGTATATTAGGACTACAGAACAGCCTCCTTCCTCTGTGGGGGGTGTTGTGTTCTGTAGTTCCAATATACTTCCTAAAAACATTGCTTGAGATGCTACTCCACAGTGTGCAGTATATTGGGACTACAGGAAAAACCCCCTCCTCCATACACAGGGAAAGGTGTTCTATAGTCCTAATATACTTCCAGATAACATTGCTTGAGATGCTACTGCACATTAAACAGAATAGTAGGACTACAGAAAAGCCCCCCTCCTCTATACACAGGGAGAGATGTTCTGTAGTCCTAATATACTTCCTGATAACATTGCTTGACATACTACTGCACAGTATATTAGGACTACAGGAAAGCCCCCCTCCTCTACTCGTAGAAAGGTGTTCTGTAGATCTAATACACTTCCTGTTGACATTGCTTGAGACACTACTGCACAGGATGCTACTGGATCTCTGGCAGGATCAGCATGGATTTTTTTGAACAGATATAACAAAATGCGTTCAATCGTATATATGGAGCGCATAAGTCCAATATTAGGGTTAATATACATATTAGGACAATGCTGTCATCACCCCCACCAAACCTATGAACCCAGGTGGGAGCCGGACCCTTAAAGTGAGCCGTAATGGTGATAGGAGGGGCTCCTGTTCATTCCTTCACTGTAATTGGCTGCCCAGTGATCAGGAGCCTCGGTAGCTGACAGCTTAGTCACAGTTCTGGGGGGCGCCCAATGACAGCACTTCTGAACAACACATTAATGTATATATGCGGCAGCTGGGCTTTAAGCTCCCCACTATGCTGCCGCATGGATGCGTTACGCTGTTGTACAGGGGCTACGTTAACGGAATGAGTGGAGAGCCGAAAGCTAGAGGTGCCGGAACACCATGGGAGCACCGAAACAAAATTCAATGAGAGTCAAGCTCTGACCAACCCCAACCCCAACCCCAACTCCAATGCCTTTCACTGCAGATTGGCAAATGTCTCCCCACTAGGAGCTTCCACCAATCTGCTGTGTTATCATGGCAACCAAGAACGTCCAAGGCTTCTAGTTTTTGAAGAGTTGCTCAACTTTCTTAATGTCTCCCATCATTGGATGGCTAGAATTTGTCAGAGCTTACAATCTACTGAAAAGCAGAGCTCAGACTGGGCAAGGGATGAGAAGCACCGGGAGCCAATCAGTTGTGCTGCAATACTCATGTGCAAATTTTGGGTTGTCATCAGAACAGGAATAGATGGGAAATCTTCTAATGGGAACACTAGTTCTGGTGACCCTGCTGACCACCAGGGATTTCCCTCACTTCACAGGGATTTCCTCTCACTTCCTGTTGTGGCTACCAGACAGGAAGTGAAGGGAAATCTCCCCAATGGGGCACAAAAAAAGCTGACGGGGTTATAACCCTGCGTTACTATTCAAAACTAAAAAGAGGGTTTGGCTACAGGTCAGCTTTAACTGCAGCAGAGAAAAATCAAGCCAGGATAGGGCTGTGTAAATCTAAGGACTGGATAGACAAACACACATCCTTTTGCAGGAAAACACACTTTCTCTATATGTTTGCTTGGAGATCAGCTTTAAACTCTACTATAGTGTCAAAAGCAAGTACGGACTAGGATTTCTCTTCCTGGAGATAAAAGAAGCCCGACATCCAAAGCAATAGGTTGTTTAGGTTCTTCACTCACCTTGACACACCACGAAGATCTCAGCGCTCTCACTTCGAGATGCCTGGGGCTTTGTGGAAGTCACCTTCTTGAAAAAGTTCTTGAGGATCCACAGAAGGGATTGGTAATCAGCGGAGCGGAAAACCTTTGTGATGAACCAACCTCCTTTAGAGAGGCAATCGCAGGCCAGCCGAAGAGCCATGAGAGACAAGTGGACTGGAATACAGACAAGAAAACAAAGAGCTTACTGGATGACGACCATTCCCACTGTATGGCAACTATAAATGGTACGGGTCTGGTATGTATTCTATGGGAGGAGCCTGTGCAGCAAAAACAAACAAACAAACAAGGGGTTCCCTACCTTCATATCAGAGTTCCCCCTTCCCATCAGGAGACACCTTAATCAGGAAGCCTGCCACTTCAAAGAAGAGTCCTCCTCAGTCCCCCCTTCACAGCAGAGTCCTCCTCAGTCCCCCCTTCACAGCAGAATCCTCCTCAGCCTCCCAGCAGTCCTCCTCAGCCTCCCAGCAGTCCTCCTCAGCCTCCCCTTCACAGCAGTCCTCCTCAGCCTCCCCTTCACAGCAGTCCTCCTCAGCCTCCCCTTCACAGCAGTCCTCCTCAGCCTCCCCTTCACAGCAGTCCTCCTCAGCCTCCCCTTCACAGCAGTCCTCCTCAGCCTCCCCTTCACAGCAGTCCTCCTCAGCCTCCCCTTCACAGCAGTCCTCCTCAGCCTCCCCTTCACAGCAGTCCTCCTCAGCCTCCCCTTCACAGCAGTCCTCCTCAGCCTCCCCTTCACAGCAGTCCTCCTCAGCCTCCCCTTCACAGCAGTCCTCCTCAGCCTCCCCTTCACAGCAGTCCTCCTCAGCCTCCCCTTCACAGCAGTCCTCCTCAGCCTCCCCTTCACAGCAGTCCTCCTCAGCCTCCCCTTCACAGCAGTCCTCCTCAGCCTCCCCTTCACAGCAGTCCTCCTCAGCCTCCCCTTCACAGCAGTCCTCCTCAGCCTCCCCTTCACAGCAGTCCTCCTCAGTCTCCCCATCACAGCAGAGTCCTCCTCAGCCCCCCCATTCAAAGCAAAGCACTCCTCAGTCCCGCCTTCACAGCAGTCCTCCTCAGTCCCCCCTTCACAGCAAAGTACTCCTCAGTCCCAGTTTCACAGCAGAGTCATCCTCAGCTACCATTTACAGCAGAGTCCTCCTCAGCCCCCCCCCCCCTTCCATCCAAAAAATCCCCCTTTTCCCCTACCTA